GTTAACCTTGTTTACACAGGTGTTGCTTAATACACAACTGGACAGCTTTCTCTTGATTTGCTCCTTTTTAAAACAAGCACTAACTACTCTCTGCTGGCCTTAATTTAGCCATTAGCTTTTCTTTAGACAATCACTGATAATGCTGCTAACACAATTTATTACTTGCCTAAGACCCCTAATAGCCTTTTGCTAACAAGCTCACCCTTTCCCAGACCCCTCTTCCCTTGAGTTATAGCTAAACGTCTGTACACATGACCATTATCACAAAATGTATAATTTAGTATACCATGAAGTGTTACGAGAAAAATACTTTGTTCCCCTTGTCCTGAGAACGTTTATGACAATTTATGGCGATCTCTCATTAACTTACTCCACGCGTTGTTGCAATTAACTACCTGCTAGACAGTATAAAGACCTGCTGAGGGAATGGCAGGAGAGCTGCACCCAACCCTGACTCCCGTGTCTTCCTCACGCCCGTTCCCTTCTCCCCTTTTGGAATCTCCGCTCCCTGATGCCTTGCCACCTTAGGGCCCTGCCTGTCTCGCCCCCGGACACCTTGATAGTTGGGGCTGGTCCCCAACACCGTCTGGCTGGACTTTCACCCACGAGGGGATGGGTCATTTGGGTGTTCGATTTAGAAACTATATTCTTTGTCTTTTCTGTATTGCACACTCATTGTATTAAAGTTCCTTTCCATGAAAGCTCTTAAATGTTTTGTGTTGTTGCAGCAGATGGCAGAACCTATTTAGAGCAGACAGGTTTGGGGGTTCTGGGGTGCCCCTCTCCCCGCCCTGTAAGAATGGGTCCGTTTTGCAGAAGAGAAATCAAGTTTGGGGGAGGTTAAGTGACTTCTACTATTTGTGACTCCAAACCCGTGTTCTTTGTAACTACCAAGGGCCAAAACATCACCCAACACACCCTGAATTTCCCTAAGGGTACCCTGTTTTTGCCCCTGTACCTCGTCTACTAGTCTGGTGTATTTTTGGCTGCTTTGAGAGGAAATAACAGTGGCTGAACTGACACAGGTTTCAATTCTTCTCCACAAAAGACAATGCAAAGGGCAGCCCTTTCCTTCAGAGCCCTGGGGGGGGTGAGGGGGCCCTTCCACCCACTCACTCTGCCCGGTGGGTGGGTTCGTGGGGCGCATCACCCCTCCTCTCTGCCCTCAGTGGGGAGCTGGAGAAGGGCGAGAGAAGACCTCGCTTCCTCGGAGGGCAGGATGGCTGGTGCGTGGCTGGTCGGGGTGGCCCCGCAGCACAGGGGCGCAGGCGTGTCCTGGTGCCAGGCGGGGCACAGGGGGCACCCCGTGCGCCGGGCGCTGTCTCGGGCCTCGTGCGCAACAGAGCACCCTGTTCCTAAGGCGGAGGCGCAGCGGCCAGTGTCACCAGCAGGCGGCGCCAGCCCCCGGGGAATGAGGAGGACGCGCCTGGGCGAGGCCCGCGGCTGGCGGGCGGCTGGGGCCACCTCGGCACACTGGCGCCGGCTTGGGCCAGGGCGCCCCGGAGGACAGGCCTGGGGGGCCTGGGGCTGCCACAGAGACGCTCCACCCACTGGCCCTGGCTGGACTGCGGCAGGAAGCACAGGCGCAGCCAGGGCCCGAGGCCGGGGCCACGGGGCGCAGCCGCG